CAAATGATGCCCCGGTTGCCCCCCCCTGTTACTACCCCTACTTTTTCTAGACAACCTTCTAAACGAGCCAAAACATCTCTTGTTTGTCCATTTTTTATTCAAATAAGAGAAAAAAATAAAGCTAAATGTAATACTTGCGGCAAAGAGTTAGCTTTTAACTATGTTACTCGGGCAGGACGGGATGTTTGAGGAGATACATAATGATACACTCTCAAGATAAAGTTAAATATTATCAAATGAAAGTTGTGGCCGAGGGGACAAGTCTACCTAGTCAGCCTGACCCTAGTACCGGGTCAAATCAATTTCAACTGGGAATTAACACCGTTACTAGTGGTATTTTATATTATGACCTAAGAAAAGATAGAGAAGAATTGGCAAAAATGGTTACTGTTATGTGCTTACCCTATAGTTTTCTTTCTAACCCTCACTTTGTGCATTATATTAGAAGAGTTTTTAATCCCACTTATAGAGGATGACCTCGCACAACCGTAAAGAGTGATATTTATAAATATAAACATGAATATAAATAATATTTGCGCTAGTTATTTACTCATATCAATTGTCGTGTTGCTATTACTACTAATATTGTTAGAAGTAGTAATGACTGTGATTATCTTACTCTTACAATTCATTGGATTGATAAGTACTGGGTAATGCGAAAGCGCATTATTGCTTATAGAATAATTAATTCACGTCACACAGGGCAGTTTATTTCTAGCAAGATTACAGATATTTTTATATATTTTTTCATTATTGATAAAATAATGCCAATTTCAATGGATAATGCTACTCGTAACACTAATGTTGTAGCCTTGTAAATCCTGCATTTAGTAATATTTTTCATGTTAGATGTATGTGTCATATTTACCATTTAATTGTGGGTGATGGTATGGGAATTTTAAATGTTGAAATTGAAAAGGTTAAAATGGCTCTTCACTGGTTTTTTTATTCAAACCGTAGAAGTAGACTTAGAGAATATTTTAAAATATGCGATGAATTTGGCCTAAGAAAAAGAAAGGTTCCTAAACCTTGTCCAACTAGATGGAATTATATGTACGAGTATTTGGTTATTGCAAAAACTGGTTTTACCTTCTATCCATTGACGGGAAGTTATGGGATGACAATGTGAGTCTTTCCCAAAACTAATAATCTTATCTTTCAATAATAACATGCTGTTTTATTAACTTGTATTTAGTTGTATTATTCAGCTGTATTCAGCTGTATTTTTCTCTGATTTCCTATGTATTCAGCTATAGTCAATTGAATTGAATTGTATTATTAACCTATAGTCAACTTTATTGAAATTGTTGTATTCAACTGTATTGAACAATTGAATTACCTGTATTCATCCAATGGCAGCTAAATTCAACTGTTTCAACCAGCTGTCCAGATCTGTATTCAACTGTATTACAGTGTATTCCACCAAAGTCAGTTGAATTGAACTGTATTATTAACCTATATTCAACTCTATTCTACATGTTGTATTCACCTATATTAAGGAATTGAATTAGATGTATTCATTCAATGTCAGTTGAATTCAACTGTAGTCCATAATCTGTATACAGTTGTATTCACCTGTATTACAGCGTATTCCTCTATTTTCTGTATTCATTTGTATTCAAATTTTTTTTAGCATCTGTATTGAGGTATTCATATATATTATTTCTTAGTTCAAGCACATAAACTCACACTATCTACCAACCTCTTTTGTTTATAGCATATGAATGTCATATTCTACTATTTGCGAAAGATGGGCAAGTACAATCAGCATAGGGACTTCACGTTTACTACTGTTGATTGTATATTCAAGACAAGAATAGCTGAAATATATGACAGGTATGAAGATACAGATAGTGATGCTAATGTAGCCAAACAAGAAGACGTTGTATGTGAGTATATTAGGGGCTACAGATTGCATGCTAATGTACCCTGGCATACAGTGGATAATGTCTTGATACCAGTGAACTTGAAGGAAAAACTTTATTGGGTGTTGGTTGTTGTAACTTTCAAAGATAGATGTATCAAAGTGTACGACTCGTACACGTCTTCTGGTCATGATGCATACGTAGTCTCTGACATTGTAAAGCTAGCTAAGCTACTACCTCTGTATCTGTCAATTAGTGGCTTTTACAGAGATAGTCAAGGCATTGACTGGTATGCTTATCCCGCATACACAAACAAGGATCATAACGAACCTTTTGAAGTTATCTTCGTTCCAAATCTGCCTCAACAGAAAGCGGGCAGCATGTAAGTATCCAATCATCATTCTTATATGTTTTATACAAATCTAATTGTATTAATTATTTTATATTCTGTTTCAATCAATTATTTTTTAAGGATTGTGGAGTGCATGTTGCAGCCTTCGCGGAGTTTCTGAGCACTATTGGAGAGATTACACAAAAAACACCATTTGATGTCACTCTTCTCCGTCAAAGATATGGTGCTCTGTTATGGGACTATGCTATGCGCAAGATAGATGCTGATGCAATAAGCGAGAGTGAAGCACCTTCAAAGATTGAAAGGCAAATCTCTGAGTCGGAGGCAAAGATGCAGATAGTTTTAGAATAGCTTTAGGTTTTTTTTTGAGTTTAGCTTGAACAATGATACTGATTGTAGTGGTTTTGGTCGTAGATGTTATTTACTTACATGCTGAAATTTGGTTAAGTTTGCTTGAACAGATTTTAGTTAACGCACATGTTAGTTACAATTTCTGAAACTTTATGTATGCTGAATGATTTTTGTTAATGCCAATTTTTGAATTATATTAAGCTGCATAAGATCAGCTTTATCTT